GCGCGGGGGGGGGGGGTGGTTACGGGGGGAGGGGGCTTCGGTCCGGGGAGCGGCGGGGGGGTGCGGGGGGGGTCTGTTTTATGGGTCTTGTGCGGTAGGCGTGGGGAGTGGAGTGGTGTCACCGGCGTTTGGGTAGGTGGGGGGGGTGGGACGGGGAGAGATCCGGGTCGTTTGGCGGGGGCAGAGTCGGGGTGTGTGGGTGCGGTGGGCCTGCTCGGGGGGGGCGTGGGGCGAGCGTGCCTCTGGCGGGCGGGGGGGTGGGGGGTGGGTGGGGCGGGGCGGGGGTCACTGCTCGGGTGGGGCGCGGATGGGGTGGCGGAGGGGCGTCGGGGGGGGCGTGGGGGGACGGGGGGACATAGGGGGGCGGGGGAGGGACGAGGGATAGACGAATACGCCATGGGGTCGACAACTCAGGGGGGGTGGGCGGATGTGGGGGGTCGCTAGGAGGATGGGTCAGGGGGGGGCTGCGGAGGGGGAGGGGCGGGGGGGCTGGCTGCGGGGGTGGTGGGCAAGGGGGGTGGGGGGGGGGGCGGCGGGCGGGCTGTGGGGCGGTGGGACCTGCCGCGGGTGGAGGTGGGGGGGTCGCTGGTGGGGGGGGGTCCCCTGATGGGGGGGGGGGTGGGGGGGGGGGGGGGGGGGGGGGGTGGCTGGGGCGGGAAGCCAGGCGGGCCGAAGGGGGGGGGCGGGGTGGGGGGGGGAGTGGTGGTGGGGTTGGGAAGGGGAGTGGAGGGCATGGGGAGGGGGGGGGCGGGGGATGGGGACGGAAAGGTTGATGTGTGGGGGATTACGGCTGGTCGCGGGTGGGGGGCTGTGGGGCGCGGCCGGACGGCGCGCGAGGGGTGGGGGGGGTCTGGGGGGGGGGATGCTGGTGGGTGGGGGCGGGCGGGGAGGAGCATTCGTGGAGGCGGGGGGGGCCAGCGGGGGGGGGGGGGGGCGCGCGTAGGGGCGGTTGGTAGCGAGGGGGGGGAGACGGGGGTGGCACGGGGGCGACGGGGGTTGTGTCGGGGGGCGGGGGTTGGTGGTGGGGGGTGTGTACGGGGGGGTGCGGGGTAGGTTGAGGGGGCGGTGGTGGGGGGGGGGTCTAGGGGGAGTCGGGGGGGGGGCGAGCGGGGGGGAATGGAGGGGGGGGGGGTGCGGGGGGGGGGGGTGGCGGGGGCGATGTGGTGTGCGGGTTGGTGGAGCAGGCGGGTGGGGGTCGAGCGTGGGGGGGGGGAGCGCGGGGCGGGGGGGGAGTCTGGGGCGTGAGTCAGTGGGTGGGGAATGGTGTGGTGTGGGGGGGAGGGGGTGCTGGAGGGCGGATGGGGGGGGGCCTCCGGTTGGCGTGGAGGAGCAGTCTCGCAGGGTGCGCGCAGGGGTGTCGGGGGCCAGGGGCCTGGTGGGGGCGTCAAGCGCGGGTGGGTGGGGGATAGGGGGCGCGGGTTTAGGGGGGTTGGGGGGGGGGGTAGGGGGGGGATCGACGCGGGGGAAGGTGGTGGGAGGGGCGGAGTGGGAGGGGAGGGGGGGGTGGGTGCAGGGGTTGTGGGGCGGGGGGGACGCGAGGGGCGGAGCGGGGGTGGTGGTGGGGGCAGGGGGTGGTTGCGCTTGGGCCGGGGGGGGGGGGGGGAAGGGTCTGGGCATGGGGGGGTGGGGGGGGGTGGAGGGGTGCTGCGGGGGGGGTTGGGGGGGGGCCGAGTAGTGGGGGGGTGGTTGCGGGGGGCGGGGGGGGTGGGGGGGGGGGGGGGGGTGATGTGCGGGGGGATGGTCCACGTGGGTGGTAGGGTGGAGTGAGGTGAGTGGGCGGGGTGGGGGGGGGGTGGGGCATGAGGAGGGCGGGGAGGGGGGAGGGGGAAGTGTTGGGGAGTGGAGGGTGGGGGGGTTAGGGTGGGGGGGGGGGTGGGTGGGAGTCTGAGGGGGGGGGGGGGTGGGTGTGGGGGGGGGGGCGGCTACCTGGGGGGGGGGGGTCGGGGAGGGGACCGCGGGGGTGAGGGGGAGGGGGGGGGAGGGGATGAGCGAGTAGGGTTGGGTGGTGGGGGGGGGTGACAAGGGAGGGGTGGGGGGGGGGGCGCGGGGGGTGGGGCGCCTAGTTGGGTGGGGGGGGGGGGGGTGAAGGGCGAGCGGGAGGGGGTTGGGGGGGGGGTGTAGGGGGGGGGGGGGGGGGGGGGGAGTAGGGGGTGAGGGGCGCGAGCAGGCGCCGGCCGGGGTGGGGAGGTCGGGGTGGTTGCGGGGGTAGGGGGGGCGGGGAGTGGAGGAGTCCAACGGGGGGGGGGGGGGGGGGGGGGGGGGGGGGGGGGGGGGGGGGGGGGGGGGGGGGGGGGGGGGGGGGGGGGGGGGGGGGGGGGGGGGGGGGGGGGGGGGGGGGTGGGGGGGGGGGGGGGGGGGGGGGGGGGGGGGGGGGGGGGGGGGGGGGGGGGGGGGGGGTAGGTGGGGGGGGGGGGGGGGGGGGGGGGGGGGGGGGGGGGGGGGGGGGGGGGGGGGGGGGGGGGGGGGGGGGGGGGGGGGGGGGGGGGGGGGGGGGGGGGGGGGGGGGGGGGGGGGGGGGGGGGGGTGGGGGGGGGGGGGGTGGGGGGGGGGGGGGGGGGGGGGGGGGGGGGGGGGGGGGGGGGGGGGGGGGGGGGGGGGGGGGGGGGGGGGGGGGGGGGGGGGGGGGGGGGGGGGGGGGGGGGGGGGGGGGGGGGGGGGGGGGGGGGGGGGGGGGGGGGGGGGGGGGGGGGGGGGGGGGGGGGGGGGGGGGGGGGGGGGGGGGGGGGGGGGGGGGGGGGGGGGGGGGGGGGGGGGGGGGGGGGGGGGGGGGGGGGGGGGGGGGGGGGGGGGGGGGGGGGGGGGGGGGGGGGGGGGGGGGGGGGGGGGGTGGGGGGGGGGGGGGGGGGGGGGGGGGGGGGGGGGGGTGGGGGGGGGGGGGGTGGGGGGGGGGGGGGGGGGGGGGGGGGGGGGGGGGGGGGGGGGGGGGGGGGGGGGGGGGTGGGGGGGGGGGGGGGGGGGGGGGGGGTGGGGGGGGGGGGGGGGGGGGGGGGGGGGGGGGGGGGGGGGGGGGGGGGGGGGGGGGGGGGGGGGGGGGGGGGGTGGGGGGGGGGGGGGGGGGGGGGGGGGGGGGGGGGGTGGGGGGGGGGGGGGGGGGGGGGGGGGGGGGGGGGGGGGGGGTGGGGGGGGGGGGGGGGGGGGGGGGGGGGGGGGGGGTGGGGGGGGGGGGGGGGGGGGGGGGGGGGGGGGGGGGGGGGGGGGGGGGGGGGGGGGGGGTGGGGGGGGGGGGGGGGGGGGGGGGGGGGAGGGGGGGGGGGGGGGGGGGGGGGGGGGGGGGGGGGGGGGGGGGGGGGGGGGGGGGGGGGGGGGGGGGGGGGGGGGGGGGGGGGGGGGGGGGGTGGGGGGGGGGGGGGGGGGGGGGGGGGGGGGGGGGGGTGGGGGGGGGGGGGGGGGGGGGGGGGGGGGGGGGGGGGGGGGGGGGGGGGGGGGGGGGGGGGGGGGGGGGGGGGGGGGGGGGGGGGGGGGGGGGGGGGGGGGGGGGGGGGGGTGGGGGGGGGGGGGTGGGGGGGGGGGGGGGGGGGGGGGGGGGGGGGGGGGGGGGGGGGGGGGGGGGGGGGGGGGGGGGGGGGGGGGGGGGGGGGGGGGGGGGGGGGAGGGGGGGGGGGGGGGGGGGGGGGGGGGGGGGGGGGGGGGGGGGTGGGGGGGGGGGGGAGGGGGGGGGGGGGGGGGGGGGGGGGGGGGGGGGGGGGGGGGGGGGGGGGTGGGGGGGGGGGGGGGGGGGGGGGGGGGGGGGGGGGGGGGGGGGGGGGGGGGGGGGGGGGGGGGGGAGGGGGGGGGGGGGGGGGGGGGGGGGGGGGGGGGGGGGGGGGGGGGGGGGGGGGGGGGTGGGGGGGGGGGGGGGGGGGGGGGGGGGGGGGGGGGGGGGGGGGGGGGGGGGGGGGGTGGGGGGGGGGGGGGGGGGGGGGGGGGGGGGGGGGGGGGGGGGGGGGTGGGGGGGGGGGGGGGGGGGGGGGGGGGGGGGGGGGGGGTGGGGGGGGGGGGGGGGGGGGGGGGGGGGGGGGGGGGGGGGTGGGGGGGGGGGGGGGGGGGGGGGGGGGGGGGGGGGGGGGGGGGGTGGGGGGGGGGGGGGAGGGGGGGGGGGGGGGGGGGGGGGGGGGGGGGGGGGGGGGGGGGGGGGGGGGGGGGGGGGGGGGGGGGGGGGGGGGGGGGGGGGGGGGGGGGGGGGGGGGGGGGGGGTGGGGGGGGGGGGGGGGGGGGGGGGGGGGGGGGGGGGGGGGGGGGGGGGGGGGGGGGGGGGGGGGGGGGGGGGGGGGGGGGGGGGGGGGGGGGGGGGGGGGGGGGGGGGGGGGGGGGGGGGGGGGGGGGGGGGGGGGGGGGGGGGGGGGGGGGGGGGGGGGGGGGGGGGGGGGGGGGGGTGGGGGGGGGGGGGGGGGGGGGGAGGGGGGGGGGGGGGGGGGGGGGGTGGGGGTGGGGGGGGGGGGGGGGGGGGGAGAGAGGGGGGGGTGGTGGGGGGGGGGGGGGGGGGGGGGGGGGGGGGGGGGGGGGGGGGGGGGGGGGGGGGGGGGGGGGGGGGGGGGGGGGGGGGGGGGTGGGGGGGGGGGTGGGGGGGGGGGGGGGGGGGGGGGGGTGGGGGGGGGGGGGGGGGGGGGGGGGGGGGGGGGGGGGGGTGGGGGGGGGGGGGAGGGGGGGGGTGGGGGGGGGGGGGGGGGGGGGGGGGGGGGGGGGTGGGGGGGGGGGGGTGGGGGGGGGGGGGGGGGGGGGTGGGGGGGGGGGAGGGGGGGGGGGGGGGGGGTTTGTTGGGACTGGTGGTTTGGGTGTTGTTGTGTAGGGGTAGGGCTTGGAGGGGGGGGGGTCGTGTGGGGGGGGGGGGGTGGGGGGGGTGGGGGTTGGGTGATGGGGGGTGGGGGGTTCGGAGTTTGGGGAGGGCGGGGGGCTGGGGGGGTGGGGCGGGGGGGTGTTGACAGGAGCGTGGAGTTGTCGGGGGGGTGTGGAGGGTGGGGCGGTGGGGGGATAGGCGGGCGTGGGGGGGGGCGCTGCGAGGGTGGGGGGGGGGGGTGGTTAGATGGGTGGAGAGGGGGGTGGGGCGGGGGCGACTGGACGGGGGCGGGGGGGCCGGGTACTGGGAGGGGGAGGGGTGGGTGAGCGGCATGATTGGGGGGGGTTGTGGGGCGTGGGTGGGGGGCGGGGGGGCTCTATAATACAGTGTTCAGTATTCAGTAGTTTGGACGTTTGCAACGGAGTAAGCCATCAACCACCTAAAGTCCTACTTGCCAATGGATCCAGCATGTTTACGCAGACCCAATCCGAGTGAGAGGATCAATTTGACAGTCGACGCAATTAACATTGTAATCAATACTGTCCTCTCCAGCTGGATTGATAGGATATCTCAGTTGAGAGCTAGCACGCGCAGAGCAAAAGTATTCTATGTCCGAGAAGGAATGTCATGCTATAATCTGGGCTTTGGAGAAGTGGAGAATAAAACTCTTATTGAAGGGGTTTCTTGTCATCACTGACCACAAAACTCTATCATGGCTGATGAAGAAAGATCCGAGTAGGCGTATTACCTGATAGGCCTACCAGATTAGTGGATTAACCATGGATTTGACATCAAGCGCATAGACGGAATGAACGTACTACCACAAAGCTTCCGAGCCCGGCTTGGGAGGAACACGTGTCAGATAATGCCATACTACTGTGTTTTGTTACAGTGAAGCTTAAGAACACATTGGAATAGCAGAGGGCAGAAGAATTAGTAAAGTCATTATGCACTCATTTGCATTTGGGACCCAAGACGAAAGCAATACTAGGAGTGCTGAATTAGCTCCCCTGGATCCAGCACAAGCTTTAAGTCGCAACAAGTAATTTGGGGTGGCAAAAAGCGGGACGAATCTACCTTTTGGATTGCAAATCAACCAACACGGTTGATTCGAATGTCCCTTGATAAAGTATATATGGGTATTGAGCGATTTTTGTACTGACAAACATAGGAAAATACGTTGCAGCATACACTCGAGGTTGCCCAAGCTACCAAACAAACTGCGACAGGAATATACCATGACCACAGATATAAGGTATTAAAGTAGACGATCGGTTGCAGTGTTATGAGATGGAGGTAACTGAACCTCTACCGTTAAGTCGATCAGAAAAAGATTACATCTTAGAGTTGACTGACCACTTCATTCCATAGGTAGAAGCCGGGCGGAACAAATAGTAAACAGGCGAAACTTTCGAATGGGTACTCGAATTCAACGTGCAAGCAAGGTAAAGCGAACGGAACTAAGGTATTATACACGGAAGTTTTTGTATTGCGAGGAAAACATTTTATGCCATGTTGTAAAGTGGTGTAACCAGAGAAAAATACGTCCCAGTACCACCTGCAAACCAATGGAATGGGAGAGCGGTTTGATCAAACCATGAAAACATGGATAAACTTTGCGCAATTGGCGTAGGATGAGGTACTGTCGGAGGTTCTACTCGGGTAACGAACTAGCATGCAGTCGACAACCATTGTATCTCAATTCGCATTAGAGTTCAGTTGAGAACACATACTGGCACTCAATACCTGAATAATAAATAATCGTGGCTGGGAACATTCAAAAGCGCATCACCAGATATTGGAAGCAACTACCAGAAGAGAATGCAAATCACAACGGTTACGGAATAAGCGGGACTATTGCGTCAGGTACGTAGCGCAAATGTGGTGACAGTTCAGCATATGTAAAAATATTAATGTACACAACAGTGATCGACTAAAACATTATGAACTTGATGCGAGCAAATTCATTAATGTTGATCAAAAAAGAATGTAGTTAAAAATTCACAGTGGGACGGCGAAACGCATGTTGCACGCAGTTCTCATGCGGCTATGCTACACGAGGGAAAAGCAACTTCGTGGTGGAGTGCCCTAATGATTGTGCTTTCTTCTAGCTTCTTTCTTACTACAATTTAGTAAACTAGCAGTCGAACAACAGTTGCTAATCAATCCATATGCGCTAAGAGAACATCCTATCGACACCTCAAAACACTGCGTTAAGTTGAACATATTGGTAAAACGCAAATCCGTCCTCGTCTGCTCTTGGAAACATTCATGTGGGTCCACATCGAGCTCATACGCATAATAAGAGATTAAAGTGATAAAAGTAACCAACACTGTCAGGCATAACGAACTTGAAGTCCAACTTTTCATCTTGACCTATTTAAAATCGGTAGATTGATTTAATTTCTTCTGCCAATCATAAAAAATTGACTGGCGTCCGTGAAATGCTGCATCCTGACCAGCAACCAGAGTTTCTTCGCAGTTAGCGTCGCGTTAACCCAACGTAAGGTCAACTACTTGGACATCTGCAATTGTATTGCCGACCCACAGTAGTCATCGTACCGTATTGGAAAGTATGGTCAGGAAACCAGTGCCTATTGTGCTTAAAATTATGAAATCTATATACAGCTTACGACAAATTGTCGAAAGTACACAATAAGTGCAGCGGTGGCAAACAAGGATTGTCAAAGTCGTCTGCTTTCTTTAAATTAATTTTTGGTGAATCTAAGTAAACTGCCTGCAGTAAACCAGACCCAGCAAATCTGATTTTTATTCCAAGTGTTCGAAATTTTAAGGTTAACTATACCATTGTTATTGCCATCATCTGTGACTTAACGAAAAATGTTGTTAAGAAACGCTGGAGAGCGATCGTAGTTGTGCTTTTTACTCTCCAAATTCAAGGATTTCTTCTAGTGTAAGCAGAACACACCCTTTGAGTCTACACTTGTTGTCGTTCATTTCAGCAAGCAACTGTATCACCAACTGTGGAGAAGAAGCCTATACAGTAAATGTGCTAAGTGCTTTGGTTATAGTCGTCGCATATTTGGCCGGTACAAAATCACTCCCGTCTTTAAAGACAGAGCTCCCAGTCCAGTCTGCTCAGCTCTACTAAACATAAAATTGGTTAGTGAAATGGACATATATAAGAACGTATTTTACTTCTGGTCACCGGGGCATACTCAGATCAATTCACATCTGTTGACAGCACACTGCGACGGCCTCAGGCGTCTTTCAATCCAAGACAAAATACCATTGATGTACAAGGATGAGTAAACCATCAGTCCCACATTTGTACACTCCAGCTTTTCTCAGAATTAATCAGCCGCACTTTGTGGCACCCTGCTGGATTCATACTTATTGGCTTGAAAACACAAGTGCAAAATGGCAATACTATTTTCTCGAAAGTGTGACCAGCGCATCCTGTGTTCCCACACAACTGTAAATTCCGACCGGTGAGCCATCTACACCCACTCGCAAAAGTGAGGTTATTCAACCCGTTAAACACATTTTTAGTGGCACTGGATAGAGCAGTCCAACTGCGTTCCAATAACAACACATGTTCCAGCGTGTTTTTTTGAAGCAGCTATAGTGTCATTTACTTTTCTTCCCAGCGAACCCTACTCAGCCTCTCTGCAAGTCCGCGTTGCCGTTCAAATCCGTCAAAATGAGTGCGCAATAGGCGCCACAAAAATGTACACATCAAGTTAGAGTGTGGCAAGTCACGCAAGCATACAGTTAGCTGAACGCATAGAAAGGACACATCAGATTCGCAACAGTAACGTGGACAGAGTGACCTGTCCCTTGGTTTGATGAGAGAGCGCGGATCGGGTTCGAGGTATTTGCTTCCTTGCTCACTCCACATAATATTTGTCGATGCAACGTTTTCTCCCTACGTGTGTCCCGTGCATGTAATGTCCGTCCGAGTCACGTTATCCCCGCCCCTTCATTAACGCTTTCCAAAAAGTGCCTTGATGAAACGCTTTCCAACTTGCGTTACTTGATATAGCCCGTGCCACTTGGAGGAGGAAGTAACGCAAAACTACCTGGTGCTTAACGGCCCTCTGCACAACGTGGCGGTAGGAACCAATGTAGCAGTGTCCATGTGACAAGCATGTGGATGTAGCTAGATTGGATTAACCTATCACATCTGTCAAATGAAAAAAAACAAACGAGTGAGCGTTATCGTTTCCTTTTTTATTTCTCACGCACTTAATGAACTATAACAGCACTCTGCACTATTTTTCGTGTGCACATCCCATTCCCACTTCCAACTTTCCTTATGCGGGTGTGCATTTAAATCGATGAACGCTTGAAATAACCATTTGGTTACTTGATTATAATTCAAATTCTAATTTTTACTCCAACCATCCCATGGGACTTGTCAAGCACATGGTTTTGTACCCGTGATAAATCATCGTTCATTTGCATGTCAAAACTGTTGAGCATTTTGCATCTCGATACATAAATATCCTAGCAGAACGTAAATTTCTAACATTTTGCTCTTGGCTGACATGGAAAACAAAGCTTGTCTTTTCGCTAACAATTATAGTCCTGTCCGTATCGTTTGAGCCTGAATGTGATGCCAGCTGGCAAGGCTCAAATTCCATTGGCCGCAATATGATTTTCGCAACGGCGGTCAACTGGTATACATTTTATCTTTAGTGAACGTTACCGAGGCCAAATTAAAGTGTCTGCTTACGCGACGCTAAACTGAATCTGGGTGTTTTGCAAGTTTGAGGGTTGCAATCTTCTTTAATTGCATAATCTCCTCTCATTGCAAGACCCACGATCAGTGACATGTGGTGTATCCTTCGTATCACACGCGCTAGTAAAACTTGCTAGTTTAGTCTCAACAACTTGTATATAAAACTTGTGCTAGCATCATCATCTGTGCCACACACTCCATGAGTGCGTACCCTGAAATTGGTTCTCAGCTCCACGTTGCACTGTCATCCATTATTTTGTCGACAATTATTGCCATGACTCAACTATGCCGTCAGCCGAATGTCACATCACGGTAGACTGCGTATCCTACTCACCACTGGTTAAGTATTTGATAAATTCATTCTAGCTAGTTAGTACCTTTTCTCTATCCTTGGTGTCGGAACTGAGAACAAGGAGACCGTTTGGTGAGCAATTACTTTC